GGTTAGAGCATAGTCCCCATACACCAAAAAGGTTGTGGGTTCCACTTCCGGTTCAACCCCTGGTGGGGGGAGGGGCATGTGCAGGAGGCAACTGATTGATGTTTCTCTCTCACAGCGATGTTTCTCCCTCGCTCACTCTCTCCCCCCCTTCCTCTCTCTAAAATCAATGAACATATCCTCAGTGAGGATTTTTTTTAAAAACACTTTGTGCTGAGTGATATATTTAATATTCTAATGTAGAACTAAGAAAAGCCTATTGGATCCCTCTGACTCCTAAAACACTGGACAAGCTATTGACAGATTACCCCCTACATTTCTCTTGTAAACTGTGGCTTGTCTCTATGTCACCTATAATAACAGGGGCAGGTGGAGGGTTGCTACTAAACGAATTCTGGTTGCACAGCTGACCATATTTTGCCAATACACATGTAAAATCCTTCTAACTTTACCTTGGGGATCTCCCTGATTATAAAATGGAAAAAAAAAAAAATTCACACATACACACAAAATACAATTGGTATATGGTCCATTAGAGATGTCAAGAACAGCTTGACAGATTTTAGCACCAATTAAAATGAGGGTTAACATGTAGCTGTGGAACTTTAGGAAGAGCATGGACAAGCCAAAACACGGGTCCCTGTTCCCAACTCTGCCCCACCCAGAGTGATGCTGTCTAAGGTCCTTGAATTCTCTGTGCCTCTGTTCCCTTAGCCATAAAAATAAAGATATAACCTTAGATGAACTCCCAATAGCTCTACAGGTCTTCCAGAACTAATATTTATGACTCGTCAAGTTCAAAGTTACTATCTACTTCATTTATAAATGACATCTTAGCTGACAATATTGTGATTATACACAGTTCCTGTCCACAAAAGTCTAATATAGTTGGGAAGATAAAACACTCAAAACACCAACTCCACTCAGACAAACCTTGAACTAAACTAGATGCATGCCATTGTCCTTGACCTCCCATCCTCAGCCCCACAAATATAGTCAGAGGATTTCTTAATATAGGGGAGAGAAATTCTCATTTGGAAGTCTTGTAGTTTAACATGGTAAGTCTTTTTTACTTTTCCCTTTGAATATTAGGAAAATATACCTATTTAGATGTGTAAAGTATCTGCAGTTGGCAATAAATAAATACACAGAGTACTGAAAAGAAAAAGAACTAAAAAGCAAATCCACAGGACAAGAAGCATATATTAATTTCTCTATCAACTACTATTTGAAGATTACCTGGCAAAGGAAATATATTTACATTAACATACTGAAAGACTGGTGCTACAGTAAAATATGTAAACATTTGAGGCATTTAATTCAACATTTGAAAGAACTGAAATGAAAAATGATGTTATGGATCAGTCAATATAATCTTCTTTTTACTACATTAACTTGATTTCTGGGAAAGTTATTATATTACCTTATCAAAATTTAGCATTGCCACTGTAAACTCTAACACACAAGTCAGTAAAAGCACTAAAAGAAAAGTGTTTCAGAATAAGAAAAGTTAAAATGAAATGGATTTTTATAATGCCAGAATAAGTGTTTTCTCATGTTAAAATAACTTTCAAAAATGTAGCAGGGGCTGTCATGAAGATTAAATGAATGTATACATACATGTTGGGCACATGGAACAGTGCCTGGCACATGGCACTGGCGAACACAAACTGCACTGAATCTGGCTCTATCATACATGAAAGACCATGATAAAATAATTATGTTAACTTCAGATATTTCAAAGCTATCTTTCCAGACTACGGAACAGTGCATGATGTAGGAAACCAGGATTTAAAATACTCATGTACGCTGAAATATCAAAGCCTGATAAAAAGGTGTTGAAACAAACAAAAGTAAAAAAAAAATACTGATGTAAACTCTGAAATCTGGAGTTAAAAACAGAACCATTTAAAATTATCTATATAGTCTAACACAAATTTATAAAAATTATGTGCATTAATATTTTTATTAATTTAAGAAAAAAATACAAGTCAAATCACAAGACTGATTTAGTCAAAACAAAATGAAATGGCTTCTTTTTCTGTCTTGCATGTTATTATTCTAACCTAAATGGTGTCAAATAAAATATTTTTTAATGCTTGAAACTTAATCACACTCTAAAGACAAGATCCTATCAAATCATGCTAAAAATCCAATTAACAGGTTGTTAACAATGATTGCCTTATCTTCCCAAGGGTGAACTCTTGAACTGAAAGGTATAACAAAAACAAGAAAGTGTAGCTGTCCTTTCACAAAGATATGCAAAGTTTAAGTAAACTCTAAACTTACACAAAATCGATTTGTATAACAGGTTCCTCTTTTTAAAGAAACCCAAATAGTTGAAAATTTCCATTTAATTTCTAAGGAAGAAAACCTCTCATATGTTTAAATCAAAAGCTTAAAAAAAATCTTCGATTCCTACTTTGCACAAGACCCTATGCTAAGCACATTTGTCCCATGATATGTTTAACCAAAACATGTTTAAATGGGCTGTGATATGAAAACAAATCTTCTTTCTAATGGTAGTGATCTTTTGAATAAAATGTAAATAAGAAAAGTTTTTAATCACACCAGCCCCTATCATACAGTTCACACTCTAATACCTGTTGAATGAATGAGTGAAGTCTTATTTTAAATATTTTACAATCATAAACTTACATGAACAAAAAAAGTCCAAAGTAGAACCCTTAAGTAACCTGACCTACACAACTTAAACTAAGTCAATGGCAATAAAAACTAATTTTAAGTTGAAAAACAATTCACTGAATCATGGAAAGGCTAAGTGTATGGGACAAAATGACTACAAATAATAGTTTCACAAATTATTTTGCAGAATTACTTTGGTTTTTGTTACACATTGTAAAGAAACTCACTACTGCTGAAACAAATTCTACATACATCTTAATTCCAATGTTGTCTCCTTCCTGTAATACATGCACTTCCCTCACTTTAAAAAAAACTCAAGCCAATCAAAGATACTGGGGTCAACCTTAGGGAGAAAAACAAAAAGTAGATCTTCAATATAATATCCTTGGTAAAACTGAAAGTCAAGATTACATATTTTCAAAAGAAAAAGCAAAGAACACCCTACAGTTCTGATATATACAGGGTGGGGCAAAAGTAGGTTTACAGTTGTTCGTATGGAAAATAACACAATCAATAATAATGCAAGAATAAACTTTCACATATTCACAATTGTAAACCTACTTCTGCCCCACCCTGTATATATGCAAATAATTGTGCATTCGGTCATATACCTTAGCAAACTAGTAATTTATTAATATTTTAATACATTGTTTTAAACAACCACGTCCTGAAGGTGTGTATGTGTGTGTGTGTGTGTGTGTGTGTGTGTGTGTGTGATTCGACAATCACCTCCTGGAATATTCATATTCATTTATATGTATTTTGCAATGACACTCAAGTTCTGATGACAAAGTTTCCTAAACCATCTTTATTGGATTCTTCCACCTTCGGTTTTTTCCAGCTATTTCCTAATAATGTACAATCTACCTCAATGAATTTCCACCAAAAACAAAACCCAGGGTTGTCGAATGATTTGCGTGTACTAAAAGTTGTATGACCATGCTCTTCCAAATATGGCACACACATATCTAGATTGATGATTTCAGCCAGCTGGCAATGTACTAACTGCCAAAAGTCATTATTTCAAACCCTTTAGCTTCAGGGTGAACTTAAAAAGTGTGACTATTTTATTAATACTAGTAATTAACAATAGGTATATAGGGTCTACTGCTGAATTTCTATTTGGAAACGTTATGAATTGCAAACTACTGTGCTTTCAACCAATCACCACACTAGTGGCAGGAGTTGGTTTGAAAATAAAACCAATCACCACACTAGTGGAATGAGTCGGTTTTATTTTCATAACATGATGTTGATGGAAGAAATGTGAGTATCCTATCCTTGATCTATGGGTAAGCATTTCCTCTGCTTTCAGAAGAGAAACAGTAACTATCGGTATTGGAAACCTGGCCCTAGAGAGATTCAATCTGGCCTAACTGTCGATTCCCGGGAAATCCCCAACAAGGTGTGACCCCCGCCCAGGAGCCAGGGTGAACAGAGCACCCAGCTAGGCTTCAACTTTGGCTCTGAAGGGCCCCACCAGCATTATGGCTGATGCAGACCGATGCGCAGGCGGCGGCGATGGACGAGGAAGAGGCTGGTTTGTTTACTTGCAGCCAGAGCCGCCGCCGCCGCCGCCGGCAGCAGCGACAGCATCACTGGATCCGCCAAACCCAGCATCTTCCGCACATTTCTATTCTTAGCACACAACTCCCAAGCGGATCAAAACCCACTACTATTAAAAACACAGACAAGCACGTTACCCACCTCCCCCCACACACCCCACCAGCGCCGTCTTTTCTGCGCGCCGGCAGCGGGTGGGTGGAGGAGGAAGGAGACCCCGGGGACGCCGGTGCATCCTCGCCTTCACCCCACCCCACGCGCTCAGGCGGCCCCAGCGCCGGGAGCGCGGCAGACAGCCCCCTCCCCCCAACCCAAACACACTGACACCGGCGCTCCACGCGTTATATAACCTCGCGCCACCCCCGGTCCGAGCGGGCGCCCCCTCCCCACGCCGCGCGGCCGGCGGGGAGGGCCGAGAGGAGGGCGCGGAGTTGCGCAGAGACTGGAGGCGCCAGGGCCGGGGCAGCCCAGACACGGACGGTACCGCTAGGCCGGGGACACCCTCCCCCGGCCCCCTGCGCTCCGCCGCCCCCCAGGCTCCCCCGGAAAGTGAGGGGGGCCCGTGTCACCCGCGCCGGGCATCCCCCGGCCTCCCCACCCACACCCACACCCAAAGCCTCCGCTGACCCAGCCCCCGCCCACGCCCCCGGCGCGGTGACAACCCAGACGCCCCCGCCTCCCCCACCCGCCGCCACCCCCGCCCCAGGGAGGCCTGGAGGGAGGACCGGGCCGGGGGCCCGGAGGAGTGGAGGCGAGGCGGGGAGGGGGCGCGAGTGGGGGGCGGTGGCTGTTACCTGCAAAGGCGGCGGCGGCGGCCCCGCAGCTGCTCGGGCGGCGGCGGAGGATGGAGCCGGGGGGGCGGGGGGAGGAGAGGGGGCGACTCGGGGGTCCCCCCTCCCTCCTCCTCCCCTCCTGTCCTCCCCCCACCCCGCAGAGCCTCTGGCCCCCTGGAGCCCGGTGCGGCCGGCGGGAGGGCAGGCGAAGGGCTGCAGGGAGGGAGGAGGGAGCCGGCCGGGCCGGGCCGCGGAGCTGGAGCGGGAGGCGGCGGCGGGAGGGGGAGGGAGGAGGAGGCGGAGACTACATGGGAATCGGATATCGGCTACAAATTCAATTCATCACCAGCAAACAGCGCTCGGGCGGGGGCGGGGGCCGGGTCACGCCGGCGGGGCGGCGGCGGGCGGCGGCCCTGGGTCCCGGGCGCGCCCGGCGCGGGTCGGGGGGCTGCGGCCTCCTCTCCCGGCCGCGCCTCGCCGGTGGGACCCCGCCGCCGCCTCCCCGCCCCCTCCTTCCTCCCTCCGGGGGCCGCCGCCGCGCTCGCCGCTCGCCGCCGCCGCGGGGCTTGTTGTTGACTTTGAGGAAAACTCCTGACGTCAGGGGCTGGCTCTCGGCGACTGGCGGGAGCGGCTTCCCCGCGTCCCCGGCCTGCCCGCCGCCTCCGCTCCCTCCCCGCCGGCCTCGTCCGCGGGCTTCCCCGCGCCCCCCAAACCCGCGGCGCCCCGCGCCCCTCTCCTCTCGCGAGAACATCCCCCCAGCAGCCGGGGCCGGGAGCGGGGGCCGTCGCTCCTGGGCGGGAAGTGCCGGGTTTCCCCCGCGCCCTCGTGGCCCGCGGCGGGCACCTGAGGCCCGGGCGTGGAGCCTCGCTGCCCGGAGAGGAGCCACCGCCCCGGGCGCCTCGCCCGCCCCCCGCGGCTCCGGGGCAGGTCGGGGCGGCGCGCGGGGGCCGCGCCTGGAAGTGCGGTGCCGGGGGCTGGGCCACCCCGGGAGTCCGCGGGAGGGACCCCCCCCCTGCAGCCCCGGGGTCAGCCCTGCCTGGAGCCAGTTCTCCCCGACCCCGGGGACCCCTCCGACAGCCACCCACCGCGCTCCAGCCATCGGAGCCGCACAGGTTGCGGGGAGGTCGTGATTCACTCTCAAAATCGCCCCCTTTTTAGGGACTTGAGTTTTCATTGACTTCGGGGAGGCCATGATGTTCTGCATTGACTTCGAAGACGGTGTCATTTCTTTTCAAGTTCCTGGCTCCTGGGAATATTTGCACTGGAGACCCAGTTTTTGCAAAATGGCCATATTTTACCATACCTCCTACTCCATAAAGTTACAAAAGAAGTGTATTTTTTTCCTGACACCATGTTTTGTGGATTCTGGAACTCTTTGAAAAGGCAAAACAAAACATAGTATTCCGCCACAGGGCTCTAGCCTTGCAGATTACGTGTTAGGGGTCCCAGTGCAAGATTCCTGTGATGCTTCTGGGATCTTTCTGGAGAAGAGTTTCTCCTCTTGACTGGACTTCCTTCTCTGCTTGTCCATGTCCTGGCGACATTGGGGTGGCACTCATTCTTTTATACTACATCACTGGTGTTTATTTAGTGAGTTGTATTTATACATCAATGCCCATCTATTGGGATTGAGGATAGGAGTGTGAAACCTATAAGAAAGAAATGTTTTGGGGGTTTTGTTTTTTTAAGTCAATTTTCTCCATTTGTAAGGGTAACATTTCCCTAGCCATTCTAGAACAAAATTTGCCATTTTAAGATACACAGTTTACCCACGAGGAAAGTTCTCAATTGCTGCTTTTTTCCTTTTCCCATATTACCCATGAACTGATAAGTAAACTGAAAAGTAAAAGACTGTATCCTAATTTATTCTATTTACCTGTGTATAAAATATACATAATGTATTCTCGTAATTATCAGACCTGTAACAGCCCTATTGGCAAAATGATTTGGCTACAGATTTCTTGCTATAAATCACAAAAGTGGGTCAGGTTTTTATTTTAAAGAAAATAGTTATTTATGACACCAGTGCTTTTATAAGAAAGTGTCTGGAAAGCTTTTGTAAATATTTAGCTTTGAGAGCTGTGGTACTCTGGATTATTAGATATCTCTTATCAATTGTGATTTTCATTTGTTTCCAATTTTAACATCAATATATTTGTTAAAGCCAAATTTGTCTTATGAGCCATTCTGCCTCAAAATACTTTGCCTGGTTTAATCAGATTATATTAAATCTTAGCTGGATTAAACCCTAAAATTAAAGGTTGTAGAAACTACAATGGATTATATATGCTAGGCTTCATGCAGAGTATTTGAAAAATGGCAAACTTTTATTTCTGCTTTATGTTCTTATATTGTAGTTTCATCAATTTCTATAGTAAAAGCATATTAGCTTTTATTATAGAATTATTATTTGTTATAGAACTATTATTTTATTTGTATTTCATTTTTGTATTGATCTTAGAGAGAGGAAGGGGAGGGAGAGAAAGAGAAATATGGATCTGCTGCCTCCTGAATGCGCCCTGACCAAGGACTGAACCAATCACCTCTTGGTGTATGGGACGACACTCCAGCCAACTGAGCCACACTGGCCAGGGCAGAACTATTATATATTTAAAAAAAAAAAAAATGTATTGATTTTAGAGAGAGAGGAAGGGAGAGGAAGAGAGAGAGAAAAACATCAATGAGAGAGAACATCAATTGGCTGCCTCCAGCATGCCTCCCACAGAGGATTGGACCCACAGCTGGGCATGTGCCCTGACCGGGAATCCAACCAGCGACCTCTTGGTGCATGGGTTGATGCTCAACCACTGAGCCACAATGGCCAGGCAGAACTATTATTTATTTAAATAACATTGTTCTTTCTCCCAGACTGTGCCATCATGAATTTGGCAGAATCTGCCAGTTGTGGTATGATGGTGCACCATATAGAATGCATGCTGGCTTTCTCCTCTCTTCATTGTCATCACACCCTAATAATATGGGGAACAGCAGCATGTTCATCCATGAACATGTCCCTCCTAAGTTTCAGAGAAAAAGCACTCATTCTTTATTAAGCCAGACATTCTTAAGGCTGACATTGCTCAGTAGTAGTAATCTATGCATCTTAAGAAAAGTATTCACTCTACTTGATTGGAAATGAGTAAATTAGATATTGAGAGCTTACTTCTGAGTTTTTCCACCGTTTGTTGGGAGTAACGTAAACTAGAAGGTATATTTAGAATTTGGGGACATCAAATGACAAAAATTAAGTTACTGCTTCTGTCTTATTAAAAAGGCACGTTGTCCCCAGTGTCGAGGGCATGGCACAAAGTACATACAGAGGAAGTGTCTGTTGAATAAGTTAAGGAATGAATGAACAAATGGGCAGCACATCTGTCTGTGCTCTCTGTGCAGTTTATAGTACTCTTCTCTTGGATGGCTTACTGGGAAGATCATGAACACACTCTAGAGACGTGTAGACCTGAGTTCAAATCTTGTCTCAAAAGAATTTACATCTCAGGCAAGTTGCTTAACTTTTTAAACCTTGATTTCCTCGTTTGTGAAATAACGGTTACTACTACTTCAATTCTCTTATTAAGAGAATTAAATGTGATGATTTTCGGTAGTATCTAAAACATAGTAAGTGGTCAGCAAGCTAAAATACTTTACCATAAATGGGAAGATATTCTTGAACATAACACAGCTGCTACAACAAATAAATACAAATCCTATCCTGGCACATAACTAGGGAAGTGTATTTCTCACGCATGTCAAGCTCTGAATGGCACACAAGTCTCCTGGAAGCATGTATTCATGTAGGGCCCAAGTTTCTTCTGCATTAGAGCGCTGATGTGTTCAACACAAAATCACAACATCAAGCTGGCAGAAGGGGAAAAGCATGAAGAATCATTCAAAGAAGGTGTTATGCACATCACTGCATTGGCGTTCCACTGGCGAGGACTCTCCCAAGTCACCTCACTACAAGGCAGGCACATGAAGTGGAGCCTTGCCCAGGAAGAAAAAGAAGGAGGTTTGATGTACAGCCAGCCAGTCTCTGCCACAACTGATTTCTGAAATGACCACGTTAAGCCTACAGCTGTAATTAGTGAATATTCATGATTAATAGAGCAATTTTCCAAAGAGCATAGTTGAAATCCAGATACAAGTAGCAGATGAGTCCATTGTAATAGCTACCAGCACTAATTGTCTTTTTCTCCTTTTCAGAGTTGTCCTTCTCAAGGTGTAGGTCAAATGTCTGTATTAGTAACACAGGAGAATACCTGAGGAGCAGGCTTGCCACTAATCTAAAACTAGGATACTTAAAGCCTTCTGGAAACTTCCCTCTTATTTCATTGTCAGATTGTGCCCCCACTGTGTTACTAGAGTATGAATGAAATTTTTTTTTCATTCATTCTCATTCTCTCTCTCTCTCTCTCTCTCACACACACACACACACACACACACACACACACACAGCTCTGCCTGTTCAAAATTAAGCAATCTCAGGCATTACGTTTAGGATCTCGAGACTCTTGGGTCACAGAAAGTTACTGACCAAAATAACTGTTTAAGGGGCATCAAGCTAGAACTCATGTTCTAATTCCAAAGCGACAGCAGACATAATCATTATTCCCGACTGTGCGGAAGAATCGAGGTATGTTATAAAACTAATACATACCCATCGTAATACCAAAGTCTCAATGTAGGCTGTAATTTTACCTTCCTGAGGTGGTGTGCATTTCTAGCTGTTTCAGAATCTGCTCTGTGGGGATTGAACTTTTCAACACAACAGCTCCCAGCGAAATAATGACGGTAAATCTCCAACCCTCATCTACGTAATTACCTCAACCTTTTTCTCAGTCATCTCATTTAAATACAGTTCTGTTCCAGAAAGTGTCCCCATCCATTGTGAAACACAATTTCTTCCGCTAATGAAGACACTTCCAGAGTCAACCAGAAAGTTTCATACCTACATTCGACTTTTTAAAAAACCCACTATGACGTCCGATAGTTGAATTTGTACTATTTCATTAAATAATATTGGTTTGCTTTTCTATACCAGG